TAAAAAGTGTCGTCGGTACATGCTCTGATTCTTGTAATGCTAGTCCAAAATAAATATTACATTTTTTGTAGATAAATATTAACGATCTTATGTTCAATCATATGATCTTACGATCTAATCCTACAATCTTACCTAAATTTACTAAAATAAACCTATCATGACCAAGATCATTTTCCCTGAGTGAGATCGAATGATTGTTTGCTGATCGAATGATTGTTTGCTAATATGAACATGATCTCAAATTCACCAATACTAATTGTTTTTTTTTTAAAAAGATAATTATTATTTGTATTTTAATATATATATATATATATATATATATATATATATATATATATATATATATATATATATATATATATATATATATATATATGTATATATATATTATAAAATAATGTCATCTGTATAAATAATAGCAAGATAAGTTTGTGTCACATAAAATAAAAATATAATAAGATAATAGTAAAATAACTTTGTCACACAAAAAATATTATATTAAGATACAAAAATTATATATTTTTTTGTAAAACCTTTAAATGACCTTATTTATTAAGAAGCCCTCATATTTTATCATTAATATGTTTATCGGTAAAATGACAAATTCTTAAGCAATTGAAAGTTTTTTGGTGTTGGTTGCTAATAAAAAAATATAAATACTTACTCGATTATTATGTGAGGCCAAAATATAAAACAAAAAAAAAAAAAAAAAAAAAAAAAAATTCTAAGTATTTTCCTTTTTTATACTATTTTAAAGCATGTGTGAACCATAATTCAGAGTAATGCATTTAAGAAAAACAAAGAACGGGAGACTAGGACCTTTTTTTTACAAACAATTCACAGCTTCGGTCCATCTCCTCTTTCATCGACCATCAATCCAACGCCCTAGGATCGTTCAAGAAATATCATAAATTTCTGATGACTAGCATTCTCTGTCAACCCTTAAAACCCTATAATTAATTTCAAGGTATCTGAATCAATACCGTAAATTCAAACATATGCACAATTAAATGAATTTAAGAACAAAAAGGTTGAAGGCGTTCTACAAATAGGTTCCATTTATCAAGTTTCAATTCTAAACACCAAGAGTGGTTAATCCATCTAACTAAAAGCTAAGGAGTCTTTACCTCGAGGTGACAAAAATTGACAAAACACGCTAGACGAATACGAAATAAACAGATTTCTCGAGGTGACAAAAATTGACAAAACACGCTAGACGAATACGAAATAAACAGATTTGGGTTAGAGATATTAACTTATTTAAGTAAATTAGTTGACATGACACAACGACTTAAAGTAAATAAGTAAGATTATGGTGGAGAATTTCAACTCGAAATAGCATATTTATTTATATGCAAGTCTTTTTAATTCTTTAAATAAATTAAAAAGACCAAAACCAAAACAATATCTAAAAGATATTTTTTAGTTAACTCACTTTGTAATATGGAAATGATTTGGCCGTTTAGGTTAAGACTTGAATTTCTATCTTTTTGTCTTCTCTAAAACTCCATATTAGATACATGTAAATGTTTTAGTCTTTATTGTATTCTTTATTCGTTATAAGGGGCGTACTTGTAATATTTTTTTCCTATATAATTCATTACTTCCAAGACCATTGGCATGGAGATTCGTTTATCTCATGGTATCAAGAGCCTAACTCCTTCATCTTTTCCTTCCCTTCTATTCCTCTTCCTCTTCCTCACATTTTTCTTCTCCTTTCGTCATCCTTTACATTGTCACGTTCTTCTTCCTCCCATGACTCCATCCTTCCCATGAACACCATGTCACGTTCTTTAGCCTTGCCATCCCAAATTTTGGTTGATAACAAGCCGATTGTGAATCTGGATCTTATGAAGTGGCTTGTCGCCGATTAACGTGTCGTTATTCTTCTCCAAGCATCGCTCACGGAGGAGGCATTCTCGGAGGTTGTAGGTCTTGCCACCGCCCATGATATTTGGCCTACTCTCAAAGTTGCTTATGGAAATTCTTCTTTGGAGCGTGTTCAGAATTTAAGCAATCACCTTCATCATCTCAACAACGGAATTTCTATCGTTTCAGTTTTTGGTCGATAGTTTAAAAGTCTTTGTGACCAACTAGAAATTATTGGCATGCAATTGATAAGTCCGAAAAAGACCCATTCGTTTCTCTGTGGTCTTGATTCTTTATTTGAGACATTCTTCATGGCTATTTGTGCCTTGCATGCTCCCTATAATTTTCGTGACTTGCTTGCCTAAGGCGAGGGACATGAAATCTTCCTCAAATCCATTCACGGATCAGCCCCCACTCCCATGGCTTTCTCAACTCGTGCAGCCCCCTCCTCGGATCGTGGGAGAGGGGTACTAGATTTCACGGTGGTCGTGGTCATGGTCGCCACACTCTTCACTATCAACTATTCTGTTAAAATAGCCACTATGGAAGCGCTTGTCCTCAACTAGCTTTGTTTCTAAACCAACCACTCACCACCGATGTAGATCTTGCTAAAGCTTTTTCTTGCGGATTGTCACATGAATAATTCTGGTCCGAATTGGTATGTTGATTTCAGTTCCTCCAATCATATGGTGTCCTCCTCGGGTTCAGTCTCTTAACTCGAGCCTTTTAGTGGTGATTCCTCGTTGTCATTTGGAAATGGTAATACCATTCCCATCTCTTCCATTGGGACTTCCTCACTTGCAAATGGTATACGCTTATAGCATTATAACGTCCCAAAAATATGAACCCAAAAATTTCATTTTTAATTTAAGTAAGACAGTATTCCAACATCATCCATACATCCCAAATAAAACAAGTGCATCAAATATCATAAATTCAGAGTGAAATATCAAGTGCGGAATCCATGTGGTGTGTGTGATGTAGTCTTCCCGAGCTCTTCCCCTTGGAACCGGAAGTACCTGAAACATAAACTGAAAACCGTAAGCATTAAGCTTAGTGAGTTCCCCAAGATACCGCATACCAACATACATAGTATATAATGAGCCCTGTCCAATGAGTATAATGGGCCCGCCCTAACTTCCCGGATGAACACCTCCTCTACATTTCAAACACTAAAAGGCTAAGTTAAAGAGTGATTCCAAATACTACATATTGTGAATTACTTGGTTACGAAAGAAATTCCCCACTCGTTTAGCAAGCACCAAAAGGCTAAGTTAAAGAGTGATTCCAAATACTACATATGGGACGACCCTTATCTTCGGAAGCATTGTCCGAATCAACTAATACAGAGGTGTGTTCACCAAAATGAGGTTGAATCTATCTTGAAGTTTTGCCACGAGTATCCATGCGGAGGACATTTTGGTCAAAACAAAACTATGCGAAAGGTGCTCGAATGTGGACTCTATTGGCCTACAATGTCAAGAGATACTTATCTATTTTGCAAGAGTTGTGATAGATGTCAAAGAATGGGCACCATATCCATGAAGAACGAAATGATTCAAAGCCCTATTCTCATTTGTGAAATCTTTGATGTATGGGGAATTGACTTCATAGGCTCATTCCCCGTTTCTTTCGGTTATACTTATATTCTCTTAGCGGTTGATTACGTCTCCAATTGGGTTGAAGCAAAGGCTACAAGGCATGATGATTCTAAAACTGTAATTGACTTTTTGAAGGCAAACATTTTTGCAAGATTTGGTGTACCACGAGCCTTGGTAAGTGATAGGGACACTCATTTTTGCAATAAAATGATGGAAGCTATGATGAAGAGATATGGTATCATACACTGGATATCAACCGCTTATCATCCGCAAACAAACGGCCAAGCCGAAGTGTCAAATCGAGAAGTCAAACAAATTCTTGAAAAGACGGTCAACACTTCACGAAAAGATTGGAGCTTGAAGTTAGAAGATGCATTATGGGCGTATCGGACCGCCTACAAAACTCTAATTGGTATGTCTCCATTCCGCCTCGTCTATGGAAAGTCGTATCATTTACCGGTGGAATTAGAACACAAGGCATATTGGGCGGTTAAAAAATGAAATTTCAATCTTGAAGAAAGTGGAAAGCACCAAAAAATGCAACTTCAAGAAATATAAGAGTTGAGGAACGAGTCTTATGAAAACGCAAGCATCTACAAAGATAAGACGAAAGCATTTCATGACAAGCACATCACTCGTAAGCATTTTATTTCAGGGCAAAAAGTTCTCCTTTATCATTCATGCTTAAAGCTATTCCCGGGAAAGTTGCGATCTCGATGGCACGGACCTTTTATTGTTATAAAAGTGTTTGATCACGGTATGGTTGAAATTAAAAGTTTGGAAACAATTCAAATATTCAAAGTGAATGGGCATCGCTTGAAACCATTTTATGAAGGCTTTGACATAGGAGAATTTGACCACATAACACTGGAAAATCCGAATTACGAAGGTTGACGGAAGCGGAGCTATGACTTGGCAAAGATGTTAAACAAATGAATTGTAAATAAATAATATCTGCTTAAAGTTTTGGGTGATTCTAAGCTTGAAGTTGGCCTAAAAATAAGCATATTTAAGTCTAGCAATGATCTTGGTGAAGTTTGAAAAATGCAAAATATCTACACTTTGCGTGGGTACCCGCGTAGCCGTTCCGCGACCAACCCCCAGCCGCGCAAATCTGAGTCCCAATTACCCCCACATGGGATGCAATCTGTGATGTGCGCGCGGCTGAAGCCCACCCGCGTAGGCTCTGCGTGACCTGAATATCCACCCTCGCAACCACTTGCGCGGCTAGCCTTCACCCTCGTAATCACTTGCACGACCAAGACCAACTTATCACTTCCCTTGCGACCATTATACCAGCACATACTATCCATATACGGCCTACTCCCCGCCCAATAACCCGCCCTTAACCGTATGTGGCCCACCCAACTACACGATAACCCAGCGTGACCCAAAACCGGACCCAGCCCATTCATACCACTAACCTTATACCCCATTAACCCGTCGTACCCCCTTCCCCCCTTGTGCCTCCCGTCTTCAAACGAACAATAGCCACAGCGAGTCCATCACGTCTGCCGCCTATCGCCGCATCTAGTCAACATCGCCGATCGATACTGCCAAACTCGCCACCATGTTGTCGTCTCCCACCCTCATCTCCCTAGCCAACCCAACCGCCAACAACCCCTCCCTTTCGTCGCCGTAAAAGTGCAACCACCCACCATTGTCGTCTTCCTTGCTGCTATCACCGGCGCTTCCGCTCCACCCTATTCCCCACAAAATTCCGACCATACCACTACCTTTCTTCACCAGTAAAAACCTCCCGACACTGTCATTCCCGTGCTCTCCGGAAAACTGAATAACCTCCATCCCGCCACCAACATCCATCAAATTCAAACTTTTATTGGGGAAATCTTCACCAAACACACCTACAGATGTCGATCTACTGTTAATTTGGGAATATCTTGTAGTCGGAAAACCTAGCTCCGCTGTCGGCCACCGTCTGTCACCGCCACTCATTTTGACCAAAAATTTCGAAATTTTTGTTTCTCACCGGAGTTTCAAAAGATTCAATCTTGCGGGTCAAATTCAAGCTTGGGGTGTGGTTGTAGCGGATTTCTTTCGGGTTTTGGCACTCAAAATTGGTACATTTCTATTAATTCTTTTTCATTCAATTTCTAATTTCATAAGCTTGTGCTATGCATTATGTTGATTAGAATTAGACTTAATTTGCTTTGAATTGATTGGATAGCATCGAATTGTGCCAAATTGCAAGTTTGGAATATTTGTCCAGTTTATATTCTTGTTATTTGAATTGATTGGATTTGTGTGAGGCAATTGTGAGGGATAATTTTGGCCAAGTTTTTGTGTTTATTAGGTTATATTGGCAGGTGCAATGGCAAGGGACAAAACCATTCACACAACTCATGGTTCTTCCTGTGAGGCTTCATCCTCGCGATCCAAAAAAAAAAGTGTCAACTGAGAATATCGATCGTGAGGGTAACATTGTCCTCACTAGCGTGCAAATCAAACAATTCGAGCCACCAAATTTTACCACCAAGATTCCATGATGCAACTTGGCCGTGACAATTGTCTATAACAAATGTTCTTCAACATCGGTTGGCACAAGTTTTGTAACGCCCGTAGATCCGGGCTAGTCAATTTAGAGGCAATAGGGGTCGAAAACGACTTTTTGACAAAAGATTATTTAGAATAAATAATCTTAACCAAGTTGTAGAATATGTCTCAAGGTTTCCGTACATATAAAGAACACCGAAATCCGAGTTATAACGAAGAAGTTATGACCCGTTGAAGTTTCGCGACGGAATTGGCACGATACTGGGAAGCGTAAATAGTGAATTTATGATAGAGCGAGATTTAGCCTTAGCAATCTAAACTAAATTCGTAGAATATGTTAAACTAAGAACATCGATAAAAAGAACGCCCAAATCTAACTCTGTATGAAATAGTTATGATTTTTCGAAGTTTCGAAATTCGAATATTAGATCAAGTGGTTTTCAGCCAACACGACCTAAACGAGAATCGAATATCTCGTTAAGAGTAGCGTAACGAGAAAAATATGGGCGAAAACGGACGTCGGATGAAGAAGTTATGAGAATTTAATGGACCAATCCTGTCCCGGCCTGTTAATAATATAAAATTTAAAATCGAGTCAAAATTAGCCGATGGAGTCTAAACGAAAGTTGTAGAGTACGTTCCCACCTTCGCGTGGATATAAAGAACGTCGAAAACGGAGCTCGTACGTGAAAGTTGTGATTTTTAGAATTCAAGAAGGAAAATTGCGAAACTGAGATGACGTGGCAACATCTGGACCCTCCATCGCTGATCAGACCTCGCTTCAGATCTTGACACATCGCCCCTCGCTATTACGCCCCGCGTACGAAAAAGTTACGCCCCGCGTAACTTCGGTCTGATCCATCCGACGATGCTAGACAGCTGGCTTCGGCTGGCAACCTTATCCAAGGTGTACGCCCAGCGTAACCGAGGCTGCTGGCACCTATAAAAAGGGGTGCGAACCCTTCCGAAAATTTCACACCTTTCTTCATTTCTTCTCTCACTACTTTCTCTCTCTAGGGTTTTGAACCCTCCATAAAGTCTAGGTGAACCCCTAGCACCCTAAGGAAGCCCCGAGGCTCCCGGAATCCCGAGAAAAAGAGTCTTTCGGTTTCGAAACACTGCTCCAATTAAGTTCCGGTTTTCGATAAAATTGATTGTAAGTGTGCTACGCTTACGTAGTTTTTAATATAGCTTTCAAATAATTATAGGAATATTATTACGTCCTTAAAATAAATATTTGGGCTATTATTATGAGTTATATTGAGTGTTATTAACGCTTATATAATAATAATAATAATAATCAGACTAATTAATTTGTCGCGGTTATCGTTAGACTAAACCCTAGTGGTATTGGTACTAGGTTTTATCGAAGGAAATTGTTTTGAGAGTATCGAAGCGCTGTCCGAGTGCTGAGTCAACACTTTTTAGGTGAGTCCATAGTTGCTTTCATCTTACACATAGATATGAAGTATTTTATGTAAATTACGTGTTATGTGTGCATATTATCTGAGTACTTGTTGTCTATGCTAAATGAACGATTTTATACATGTTTTAAATGATTTAAACTGTATATGTATTTTATATCTACGATAATGTTGGGGTAAACATGGGTAGATATAATAGATGGAATATGAGTTGAATGATGAGTTGAGAGGTGTTATAGACCACGAGGTGAGGGTGAGAGGTGGACGGTGAGGGTGTAAGGTGGACGATGCGAGAAGCCTTTTTCCTAAATGATGGCCCCGTCATTCAGCAGAGTATGGATGACAACCACAGACTATTCTAGACAGTCCAGTGGAACACTAGCAGGCTCGCAACCTGTAGGTGTTGTGAACGATGTGTTCACCCGGTGTACTCTAAACCTTGGTGATCATGCGGACTTGATGCCTAAACCCTGGTGATCTTGCAGACTTGATGCCTAAACCTTGGTGATCATGCAGACTTGATGCCTAAACCCTGGCGACTATGCAGACTTAGTGGCCGTTGTGTAAACCGTGGCAATGATGGACTTTGTGCCGATTCCTTAGGATAATCCTTAGGAATGAATGAACGAGGAATAGTTGATTCTTAGGGTAGATCCTTAAGAGTAAAGAAGATAATGGGGATGGGTAATTAGGTTTAATTGCTTGATTGTTTAAACATAATAATTATATTATTGTGGGTTGAAAACCCTATGTACTCACCAGGTTTCCCAAGCTGACCCACTCAGTTTATTTATATCACAGGCGTGGATACAAAGTCACTTTACACTGAGAGATTTAAAGAGATGTAGATCACTAGTGTAAATAAATGTAAGTTCTGTTTATGCTTATGTTTCTGTATTAACGATGACATCCCAAACGTTTTGAAATGAATAAAATATGTTTCTTCGAAAATGTTTTAATAACGTATTTATCATGTTTTTCTGGGAACGAATTCCGCAACATTTTTATTAAAAGAAGTACTTTGATTTTTATAAAGCATAAACAAAATCGGTCTTTTCTGGCCGTGAAAATGGCGATGTCACAGTTGGTATCAAAGCATTAGTTTAAGCGAACTAGGAATATGGATTTATTTCTAGACTTAAACTTAGAATGCTAAGTGATGATTGTGAGGAGTGTGTCAAATAGATTTAGGTAATACACCTAAATAGACACAAGCACTAGCTTATTTTAGGAATGATGCCTAAATTGCTTTTACGTGCTAAATGATGCTATAGTTTGAACGGATCTATGGTCTGTTGCCGACCGGATCTGGAAAACTTATGTGTTTAGGATTCTAAACGTATGAATACGATATTAGGACTAGCATATAAATTTTCGGAGTGATAAGGATGATTTAAATGTCAATCGTAAATAAAGATCTAGATTCACCTTATTCAGTGTATAGATCAAGATGGCAAGGACCCGTAGCGGAAACGTAAATGCAAATGGGAACCGAAACCAACCCCCAGTGATTGAGCAAATACCGGTTGTGGTAGCCGCTGCTGAGCCAATAACAATGGCCGGAGTGCAAGCGATGATCCAGGCAATGTTGGATCGTCAAATGGAGGAAACCAGACGTTTGCTCCAGCAAAATCGAGAGGAAGCAACCATACAGATCGAACAGCCCGAGTTGAACGAAAGGCAGACTGAGGAGGGAAACTACAGTGGGACTGTTGGTCAAGCCAACCCACCAATAGTTAGGAAAAACCACCAGGATGGAGGAAAGGATGGATATGGATGCAAATACAAGGATTTCATGGCGTCCAAACCACCGAGTCTATCTGGAAGCCCGACGCCGGTGGAAGTCATGAACTGGATCTCTGAGATGGAGACGATGTTTGAGAGTTGCGAGTGTAGCAACAGGCAGAAGACTGCTCTTGCGGTTCCTTTGTTGAAATCTAGAGTACGAAGCTGGTGGAAGCCACTAGCCGATTTGATGCCCAAAGGAGAAGCGAGTAATATGTCATGGGAGGATTTTCTAGTGCAATTAAAAATGCAGTACTGCTCTGAGCAGGATCGTCTGGAGATCAACAACGAGTTTCAGAATCTAAAGAAGGGAAAGATGAGTGTCATCAAGTATGCTGAAAGTTTTACATAGAAAATGAAGCTTGTTCCTTATCTAGTTCCAACTAAGCTCTCCAAGGTCAATAAGTTTGCCCATGGATTACCAGCAGACTTTGGACCAATGATCAAGTAAGCAACCACTTTGAAAGGAGCCATCTGGGAAACCAGGAATGTTGAGACCCAGATTAGGGAAAAAGGTCTAGAGAGAGCTGAAGTTGGTGAGAAAAGGAAGCATGAAGGATCTTCAAAATCCAACGAGGAAAAGAAATTCTCAAAGACTGAAGAAGGAGGAGGAGGTGAAACCAAGTGGTGCGAGAAGTGTAAAAAGAAGCACTTTGGGAAATGTAGCGAGGAGGTGACTTGCTACAAATGTGGAAAAACAAGACATTACGCCAGCAAGTGTGCATCCAACAAGAAGGTGTGTTATGGATGTAATAAAGAAGGGCATATTTCTAGAGACTACCTAAGGAAAAATAAAGCAGCAAGACCAGAAACACCACCAAGGCCAAGAGCATCTCACATGATCCTCGGTGAACCAGAAAACCATGCGAGGAATCAAGGATGAGGACTTTATACCCGAAGATCAAGTTATGCAGTAGCCATAGTATCGTATGATGTAGCCTATTAGAGGCATAGTCTAGGGTGAACTTAAACACCTATGTAATAGTTTCAAGGAATAATAAAACCTTCGTTTTGTTATCTGATGTGTTAAACTGTTATGTGGTTTTCTTGTATGGTGACTTGGGGACTACGAGACAATACTTGGGACGAGTATGAGTAGGTGTGAAAGGTAGTAGATGCATATACTACCGGAAGCACAGGACTCACACTTGGATCAGGGAAAATCACAAGGTTACCAAGAAGCTAGTAAATGATTTTGTTTTATTCAAGCATGTCGTTACCATCGTTTCGGTTATGACCAAGAAGATTGTTGATATTCCGATCCAAGTGGTCATATCGAATTGAGTCCGACTACGATAAGTATGTTACAGAGAACCGAGTTCGATGTAGCACCAACTTAAGATAGAAGAATTAATCAAAGCGATCAGTAGAAGTATCGCGATGGATGCTAGAAATGCTACCTTTTAAGATGTGATTAGAACATGAAGGAAGATATAGTATGTTCTGGAATTTGACTCTAAACGACATGAGTCCAAGCAATGCATCACACGATGATAGGTCATCAGAATATGACACATCGTTCCATTGTAGTAATGAAAGAACTTATCTTAAGTTCATATCAAATGAGCATTGACATTGTGACTTGAAGGTCATAATTTGGAGTCTAACGTGAAGTAGAGAGTGTATGCAAGATCGAGCACCGCCTGAAGTCAAGGAGTCTAAGAGTTAGATACTCGTTCGAAGAAACATCGAAGTTATGACTTAGGATGAATATATAACAAATGGATTCATCATGTGAACCCTATTTCGTTGATGATTCCGGGACGTAATCATCCTAATGGGAAGATAATTGTAACGCCCATAGATCCGAGCTAGTCAATTTAGAGACAATAGGGGTCGAAAACGACTTTTTGACAAAAGATTATTTAGAATAAATAATCTTAACCAAGTTGCAGAATATGTCTCAAGGTTTATGTACATATAAAGAACACCAAAATCTGAGTTATAACGAAGAAGTTATGACCCGTTGAAGTTTCGCGACAGAACCGGCACGATACCGGGAAGCGTAAATAGTGAATTTACGATAGAACAAGATTTAGCCTTAGTGATCTAAACTAAAGTCGTAGAATATGTTAAACTAAGAACAACGATAAACAGAACGCCCAAATCTGACTTCGTATGAAGAACTTATGATTTTTTGAAGTTTCAGATTAGCAGTGTAAAACCCGAAATTCGAATATTAGATCAAGTGGTTTTCAGCCAATACGACCTAAACGAGAATCGATGATCTCGTTAAGAGTAGCGTAACGAGAAAAATATGAGCGAAAACGGACGTCGGATGAAGAAGTTATGAGAATTTAATGGACCAATCTTGTCCCAGCCTGTTAATAATATAAAATTTAAAATCGAGTCAAAATTAGCCGATGGTATCTAAACAAAAGTTGTAGAGTACGTTCCTACCTTCGTGTGGATATAAAGAACGTCGAATACGAAGCTCGTACGCGAAAGTTGTGATTTTTAGAAGTCAAGAAGGAAAATTGTGAAACTGAGATGACGTGGCAACATCTGGACCCTCCATCGCTGATCAGACCTCGCTTCGGATCGTGACATGTCGCCCCGCGTACGAAGAAGTTACGCCACGTGTAACTTCGATCTGATCCATCCGATGATGCGAGACAGCTGGCTTCGACTGGCAAACTTATCCAAGGTGTATGCCCAGCGTAACCGAGGCTGCTGGCACCTAAAAAAAGGGGTGCGAACCCTTCCGAAAATTTCACACCTTTCTTCATTTCTTCTCTCACTTCTTTCTCTCTCTAGGGTTTTGAACCCTCCATAAAGCCTAGGTGAACCCCTAGCACCCTAAGGAAGCCCCGAGGCTCCCGGAATCCCGAGAAAAAGAGTCTTTCGGTTTCGAAACACTGCTCCAATTAAGTTCCGGTTTTCGATAAAATTGATTGTAAGTGTGCTACGCTTACGTAGTTTTTAATATAGCTTTCAAATAATTATAGGAATATTATTACGTCCTTAAAATAAATATTTGGGCTATTATTATGAGTTATATTGAGTGTTATTAACGCTTATATAATAATAATAATAATAATCAGACTAATTAATTTGTCGCGGTTATCGTTAGACTAAAACCCTAGTGGTATTGGTACTAGGTTTTATCGAAGGAAATTGTTTTGAGAGTATCGAAGCGTTGTCCGAGTGCTGAGTCACCACTTTTTAGGTGAGTGCATAGTTACTTTCATCTTACACATAGATATGAAGTATTTTATGTAAATTACGTGCTATGTGTGCATATTATCTGAGTACTTGTTGTCTATGCTAAATGAATGATTTTATACATGTTTTAAATGATTTAACCTGTATATGTATTTTATATCTACGATAATGTTGGGGTAAACATGGGTAGATATAATAGATGGAATATGAGTTGAATGATGAGTTGAGAGGTGTTATAGACCACGAGGTGAGGGTGAGAGGTGGACGAAGCGAGAAGCCTTCTTCCCAAATGATGGCCCCGTCATTCAGCAGAGTATGGATGACAACCACGGACTATTCTAGACAGTCCAGTGGAACACTAGCAGGCTCGCAACCTGTAGGTATTGTGAACGATGTGTTCACCCGGTGTACTCTAAACCTTGGTGATCATGCAGACTTGATGCCTAAACCCTGGTGATCATGCAGACTTGATGCCTAAACCTTGGTGATCATGCAGACTTGATGCCTAAACCTTGGTGATCATGCAGACTTGATCCCTAAACCCTGGCAACTATGCAGACTTAGTGGTCGTTGTGTAAACCGTGGCAATGATGGACTTTGTGCCGATTCCTTAGGATAATCCTTAGGAATGAATGAACGATGAATAGCTGATTCTTAGGGTAGATCCTTAAGAGTAAAGAAGATAATGGGGATGGGTAATTGGGTTTAATTGCTTGATTGTTTAAACATAATAATTATATTATTGTGGGTTGAAAACCCTATGTACTAACCAGGTTTCCCAACCTGACCCACTCAGTTTATTTATATCACAGGTGTGGATACAAAGTCACTTTACACTGAGAGATTTAAAGAGATGTAGATCACTAGTGTAAATAAATGTAAGTTATGTTTATGCTTATGTTTCTGTATTAATGATGACATCTCAAACGTTTTGAAATGAATAAAATACGTTTCTTCGAAAATGTTTTAATAACATATTTATCATGTTTTTCTGGGAACAAATTCCGCAACATTTTTATTAAAAGAAGTACTCTGATTTTTATAAAGCATAAACAAAATCGGTCTTTTCTGGACGTGAAAATGGGGATGTCACAAGTTCCTCGCTCTTTCCGCGCGCACGTACAAACAACCCACACTGGAGTTTCTTTCCACTTATGCATTGTATAACACGGCGAAGGTGATCACATTTAAACTCTAGGGTCGACAGCACCAACTCACAGACGACACCCTGAACACTATCATGGGAACATACGATAGCCACAACACCGACATCTATAGTTATCAGTGGACTCAATTCAAGAGCATGCCCAAAGTAGAGTTTTGGACTCAAATCACAAGTCTTCCAAACTTAAATCCAAGTCGACAAAAAGATCCTTACATCATTCATCCTTGTAGGAGAATTGGCCACCGGATCCTCTCAACTTCCATCTTTGCCTGGTTTCGCCACCTTTTTCCTGGATAAATGTGACAGCATCCACATGAAGGCTACTGACGACATTTGCATTGGAGGTCTCATTACCATAGTTGGTTTAGGTGTGGGCCTTCAATTTCCCGACTTTGATTATGTGCCAGTGGATGACCCACCTCTCTACCTCCTTGACTACATCGCTCTCACCCGAATGGAATTACTGATACCACATCCTACCCGTCCTAACCATTATTCTTGGCTCAATCATGTCAAGGAACCAGTTTACATCTTGCCTAATCCTAGCATCTCCGCGTTTTCCACCAGCGACCCTGAAACTTGGTTCTTACCTGAAGAGTTACATGATGATGATGATGAAATGCAAGTCGATAATTCCAATGCTGGTAGTCCATTTGAGGCCGAAGACCATTCTGACCACCTGATCCAACAATTGCCACCACCTTATTATGATCAGCCCTCGGGATCACACTTTCAGCCACAACATGAGCACCACTCCTATCAGCAACACAATGATCCCGATCCTGAGCACGAATTCCCTCTTGATATCTACAGTTAGCTTGCTTCATTGCGCCTCCAGGGCAATCGGAATACATCCGCCATTCGCCGCATCGAGGAGCAGTAGACCCACACCAATAACAACAAGGAGGACCTTTGGTATCATTTTCGGCCCGAAGGCGGTTACCCCCCTCACAGACCTCCTCCACCTTGATCCCTGTATGATCCTTCCTTACTCTCATCCTAAGCATTGAGTACAATGCTTAATTTTAATCTTGGGGTGAGGTATTCTTTATCTTGTATTATTTTTTTTATTGCATTTAGGTTGTATATAGTTGCATTTAGAGTAGTCATTTAGGTCATTCATAAAAATTTCAAAAATATTGTATATTTTGTTTCTTTCTTTTCTAATTTTCATACTTTTTAGATGCATTCTAGTTTAAGTTCATGCATTTTTGTTCTCTCTTGTCTTCTCATCCCTACAAGTACCATAGCGCCGAGTCATAAGTATTGAATCATAGATTGATCACGGGTCTTCATATGGTATTCCTTGTATTGGATAAATGGGACACGTCTTAAGCCTCACACACCACTTTGAGACCGCTTGTGTGAGGGTCAGATGCAGGTAGCTTGATTGGGTCTAGGTGCGGAGGGATGTTGCCACACCCCAAAACCGGAACGACGGAAACGTTCTAGGGTGGATGACATCATGTCAAGTATCACAACATATGCAGTATAGTAATCAAAGTACAACAACCATTGCATTAATAGTAATAGTTTTACATAAGTTACATTTCATAGCAACATCAAAGTAATACAAGGAATAGTGTAGATTCAGATCGGTTCTAGGCTGACTTTGCAAAAGCTCCCGGGATGTACCTGTCTATAGCTGACCTGAGAATACAAGTTATTTTGAAAGCAAGTATCAGCATTTTATAATGCTGGTGAGTCCATAAGTATTTAGTGTCATTTGCATAAATACCCATTTTTATTCAAAATAACTTTATGAAAGATAATAGTTTAGAATCTACGGTGTATTAGTGTCTTTTCCAGAAAATCCTATATTTTCTAAATAAAAGCAGTCTTCAACCAAGACCCAACCGATTTATGTTTTAAGGAGTAGTTTTCCCCAAATTACTATCATTACCAAATACAGAATTGACTTTAAAAGAGTAATGAGAAAATTACAAGTGAAAATACTAGGGGAAAATAATATATATATATATATATATATATATATATATATATATATATATATATATATATATATATATATATATATATACCTCAGCAGTAACACTGCTGACTCAAACAAAGAAAACATAGACTCCAAGAGAGTATCGAATGAGCGATACAGCTAGCAAAGTCTAAAACAAAAGGGTGAATGTGAACTAGTATGTAACCATGCTGATCGACGATAGAGTATCCAATGACCCTCCAGGTCATGCATAGAGGTAGTGGCATTATGTCAGCCATGGGCCTTACCGGCATGGACTGTAGCTAGTAGTCTAGGTGTGGGAGTGTCAGTCCCGTATAGATCTATACACATGATGTTCGCTCTCCTTCCCGGAGACTTTGGTTACACGGTGTTGGTGCAATGAAGCATCGTAGAGGGAAATAGTGTGTCACATTCTAAAGCGAAAGAGAGAGAGAGAGAGAGAGAGAGAGAGAGAGATAAAGTCTCCTAACTATTCCTATAATAGTTACTAGGGTTCTAGAAACATGAATAATAGAAGAATGTTTGTACTACTCAAGGCGATGAATTGACTGGGAGAGAGAGAGAGAGAGAGAGAGAGAGAGAGAGAGCTTTTATGTCCATACATGTATACATGATATATAATTAATGTTTAAACAACCTTAAGACGGATATCCAATACCTACCAGACCACATCCCAACGAGGAAAATGAAATAGGGCGAACTAGCCTTCTTAAGTCCGTTAAACATTATTTATATAACTATACAAATATAGGCATGCATCTAAGAAATAAAAGCATAGAAGAAATCTTTCGTAAAACCATAATACTTTAGAAATTTATGACTTGATGTCATTTCGTAAAACAAGCTTTGAAAAGGGTTTTTATAAAACAGTTTAAGTGAAGAAAACCTTTAATAAGACATTACAACTGGATGTCTCTTTAACAAACGAACTTTAGAAAAACTTTGGATAACCTTTAATGATCTAAAAGGAGATATTCATACTTTAACGAGATTTGAAAACATGATTTGAAAATCTTAATCTGATTAAAACAGTTAACATGCAAAAGTCTAGTTTGCTATACAGTTATTAATCACATGCGATTTATCTAATAACTATACAGTTCAACTTGTATTCCACCCCTATAAAAGCAGTTAAAAATCATTTAAAGGTTAATTCAGGGGTATGAACTCACCTGTCGTGGGCGATTCGGATGAATGGACGGTATAGGATGCTAAGTGTCAAGTGAGGACTTGACCACACACGCGAATCCTATTTAACATGTAATGATACATTTAAGTATCCAATTAGTCATTTAATAGCTAATTAAGCAAGTAAGGATGTCCTATTACATGAAAACACTTTGCTACAAGTGCTAGGAGTACCAAGGGTTGCATATAAGGTGTGTATGGACTCACATTGGAGTTTACTCTTCAAATGATGGTCCTTATGGGTGTTTACGGTTTCAAGACCACTTCGCCCATGAGTTTACGGCCATAAACTCATGGTAGTGTGGTAATGGTGTCATGGGATGCTTAAAGGTCTTATATCACTCAATCATGCTAGAGTCAAATCAAGGGCTAAGGAAGTGATTGGGGCTCAAAATGGACACAATAGGGAGTTTACGGTCCTTGGACCACCCCTTTGGGTGTTTATGGTCGTAAACACATGGGTTTACGATCGTAAACACATGGGTTTACGGCCATAAACCCATGTTTGTCCATTTCTTTTGTGTTTTGTGTGGTTCTAACTCATGCATGCAAGTTTCTAGACACTTATACAAGCATTGGAAGGTGTTAAGGGCAATTAAACCCTCTTAGAAGGTGTTTACGGTTTTGGGAGACCTTCCCAAACCATAAACTCATCTTTACCCTCTTAAATTCATGTTCTTGGGGTCCCTAATTCATGAAAGTAAGGTTCTACTCTATTACACAATCATTAGAAGGCATTAGGGACATCTAAACACCTTTTGAAGGTGTTTACGGTTTTTGGGATGATCTCCCCAAACCGTAAACTCATGTTTTCTTGGGAAATGAATGATTTTCGAGTGTTAAACTCATCAAGAAGGGATCTATGCTAGTTGTCAAGGCTTAGAATGAACCAAGGAACACTTTGGCACCCTTTTAAGGGTTTACGGTTCAAGAATATTCTTGGACTGTAAACACCTTGTTCTTGGTGTTCTTGGATGATTTCAAGTGTAAACAAGTTTCTATTAAGCATACAAGAAGCTAGGATAAGTGCACTTACGTTCTAGGAGCTTGGATGATCGTTTTTGGCGGATTTGGCGGAATGAACTTATGATAGTTAAGAGGATTTCTTGGGTGTTCTTGAGGTGGGAGTTGGAAAATGAGAGAAAATGACTAAGTGTCATATTTATACCCTCGGGGGTTCGCAGTCAAAAACTCCGAGTTTTTGTCCGTAAATTCCAAATTTTTGGAGTTCCGCGACTTACGCTAAACACGGAAAATTCTAAATTATACTTCCTTACTTTTGGTTCGTTTGACGAATATTATTTAAAATATTCCAACGGGCTTAAATCCAGCCAAAAATATCTTGGGATAAATTTGGCTAATTTTTGACATGCTTAATTACAGCGTTAAAACAAACGAAAATTTCGGGTTGTCACAGAAGTGGTTGGTCATGCCAATGTGTGTGAGCAAAGATTAGCGCGGTAAGGTATTTTGAAGATATTGAAGACTCGCATCTTGGTTTTGGGGGAGTACCCTTTAGTACTCCCGAGTCTTGTCTGAGCCTTGCTTAGTTAGATTCTCGCCACCTTTTTAAGATTAGTTAGCATTTTTCTAGGGGTATAGAGTAGATAGTGATGGGTTTTATGCATAAGAACAATCCTATGTGCTCATACAAACCCTAATGCTTGGATCTAGGTTTCTCTATTGTACATGCTTTGAATCCAAGACTTGCAACCCTAGATCTATCATATAAAATTCGAAATTAACATCATAAGAACAGATCTAAGTATTTACCTCTTTCAAATGGCTTGAAATCCTTGTAATCTTCTTGATCTTGAACTTAGAGTCACAACTATAACTCCTCTAATGGTTCACAAACCCCACAAGCAAGAAGGTAATATGAGAGAGAGTAAGAGATACTTGAAATTGGCCCTAGGGTTCTCTTAGAAGCATGTAGCCGATTTCCATAGCCTAGGGGTCTTATTTATACTTGCAGACTACTAGGGTTTCAGTCTAAACCTTAATGGACAGCTTAACCACCAAGCAACCCAAGGAACCTTCTGGAATAAGGCCTTGGACGAAAATATGATGGATCCCCATCATAATTTCGTTCCCCCTTAAGTCCATAAGGCTTCCTTAGCCCAAAACTTAACTATCATACATTTGACAATTTATACCCCTTTATTTAATTAATCTCTTTTAGTCACCAAATTAATTCCTAATTAATTTATAACCAACACTAATTAAATAAGTATGATTTCTCCTTTAATATATTATTCTTATAATATATACTAAATCATAATATTCTCTATTTCTCCTTAAATTACTTTGTCAAGTTGTTTTGGTGAAGGCAACCCAAAAGGAGCATGCACAACCGGGTCAAGTACATACCAAATATAGTTACGGGCTTAGACACTATTCCAACAGTCTCCCACTTGGATAAGTCTAGTAACTATATCTCACATATGACTTTAGAATCTGATTAGCAATCGTAGGTCTTATACTTTGCTATCAACTCTGATCAGCTTGTCCTTCAAATAAGGGATCGTATAATCCTCTGTTCTAGATATCATGCTGACAAAGCTTATTGTCTAGCACTTGTTTCTTGATCTCTGATTTGTTTGACATAGAATTCAGTTGAACACATCAAACTTATTCTAACCAGGCCCGACACA